GTGAAAGTGAATTCAGGAGATCAGATGCTTGAATATAGAAGGAATCGTCGCGAGCACGGGTGCGGGAGGGAGGGACGATGAGCAAAGGTTGTGGGCGGCGAAGGGTGCGGGAACTAGTGACTGAGTGGGGAGCAAAGCGAAAACGATCAGCGAGGTATGTAGGGCAATGAAGGCGGATTATGTTGAAGGCAAGACACCCCAAGTGGTATTCACGTCTACGTCGAGCAGAAAGCCAGCCCAGTTCCAATCGTAATGGTGTGATGTGAGCATCTCTCGGAATATTGCCGGCCACGAAGCGAACACAAGCATTAATGGCTCTCTGCATTTTTAAATTGCGTGTGACGTCCAATCGAAAGAAGACCGATGAAGCATAGTCCAGGTGCGGAAAGACCAGAGATTCGATGAGGGATTTGCGTAAGGTACGAGTTAGGGCATGTCTATTGAATCGCAGGGAACGGAGTGTGTTATGTACCTTCTGGTTGATCCTGTTAATCTGTGAAGACCAGTGGAGTGAGGGGGTAAAGACAACGCCCAGGTTCAAGGCCTTCTCCACAACAGGGATCGCGATGCCATGGATATGAATGGGAATGAGGGATGATTGATCTAGGCGAGAGATGTAAGCGAGGCTGCCGAGAATCATGGCCTTGGATTTACGCGGATTGAGGCTTAGGCCATTACAATGAGCCCATGCCGCAATGGCTTCAAGATCACGATTCAGGCGGGCAATGGCCTCATTGATGGATGCAAAAGGACAATGAAGGTAAATTTGGGTGTCGTCAGCGTAGATCATATGTTTAGAATAAGAGAGAGAGGCGGGAAGGTCATTTATATACAAGGAGAAAAGGAGAGGGCCAAGGACACTTCCCTGGGGAACACCCGCGAGGGCGGGTCGCCAGTTGGATATGGCCTCCCCGTTACCCCCCCCAATGGCTTGACGACGATTTGAAAGGTAGCTATGGAGAAGAGTTAGAGCACTATTAGAGAGATTGAGATTTTTTAATTTGTGGAGAAGCTTCAGGTGGGGAACAGTGTCGAAGGCTTTAGAGAAGTCGAGAAGAACTAGTATGGTGACCTCCTGACGGTTTATTGCCTCTCTAATGTCCTCAGTTACGCCAAGAAGAGCGGTCTGAGTGCTGTGTCNGCTTTTTTTTAATAAGTAACAAGCGCAACTGGATTACGAAACACATGTGCGAGTTTTTTTTTTCTTCTTTAATCATAAACGTAATTTACTCAGTACAAGTAAAAAAAAATTTGTTTGTGGGTCAATCAAATTCGAGAGTTACAAAATATGTAAATGCTTTGTTTGATGGAAAAATGGATGGTTCAGATGCATATGGGACAAATTTCATCATTTCTAGCAACTACGTCAATGATAAAAAAATTCAGATACATTACTTTGTTAATCGTACAGCCGTCGAATATGAATTAGCAAGAAAAAACATTTCGGATAAAAAATACTTTTAAATAAATTGGTAATGTAGGATTTTGAACCAAATATTAATTATAATTCGAGTAAAATGATCGATTTTTTTTATAGGCGTCCGTTAATGTTCATATTAAAATGTTTGCACGCACGCAATATTATTACAGAGAGAGAGGGAGAGAGAGAGAGAGAGAGAGAGAGAGAGCACGAGAGAATGGATTTATGGCTTTCATTATACGTCCATTTATGCCTGAATATTTTTCTCTCGCGAACGCCACCCAGTGTCGCAATACAAATATAATATGCATGCAACATATACATGCAGTAGGTATATAGCAGTGTTACGAGGTTTTCTGGTATAGCGCGGCATATTTGTTTAGCCTTTTGCGTACTTCCAAAGCTGTACAATCGTCGCTCTTATCGAGGGGCTTTCGAGTAATTGACGATACACAAGTGACCAAAAATGTTATCTCTGTAAATTCGTGTAAATTCGTGTATATATATATATATATATACGTGCCTGCGCCGGACTTTCGTGGATTATCCAACGCTCGGTCCGACTGCGGTCTGCATCGCAGAGTCTATAGTGTTCTCCTCCTCCGGTGCCTCCCTCGATCATCCGGCCCAACGTGGACGCACGAGCGTATACCGTGAAGGTACCATTTAGCCAAAATTTACTTTCGTTTTAATTTCTTAGGAATGAGTCGTCCAAGCGCGATTCCGAAGGCCCGAAAATTAAATCCAAAGCCAACTTGTTGGCCGCTCTTTGTCCCTCTTTTATTTTTCTGGTCACGGGCGCATAACAAGCCTTAAGAGAGAAATGGGGTGGGAGGGGGGTGGAAACCTCCCGAAAGCTTCGCTTTGAACTCTAAATTGGAAGCGTTTGTTCAGTTGTTACTCCTCCTCCTCCTCTTGTCTCTCGAGCAGAGTGAAACCCTGTGGAGCGCGGCGCGCAAATTACTCGTAAGGAGAGAGCTGAGGAGAGGTGACGTTGAAATTGAGTGCTGTTTGCCCGAGCAACCTTCGCCCTTGTGCAACTCTGCTTGGGCAAATCGTATAATTTTCACTCCTCTGGTTTCAATTGCTCTTTCCACGATCAGTTTTTTTTTTTTTTTTTTTTTTTTTTTTTTTTTTTTTTTTTTTTTTTTTTTTTT